CACAATTACAGAAAGAAATTAAGTACAACAATGTTTACCTGGAAAAAACTTGGACACAACGCATGTTTATCTATAAAGGAGTGATTAAATAAATAAATGTCTAATGCAATAACATACAAGAATTTAAAAAACATCAGCGGTGCGCCGGCCGGTTTGGTTCAGTGGACCAAAGGGTCCTGGGTTCGATTCCCCAGGCTTGATCCCAATCAATGTGTCTCTCTCTCACATAGATGTTTTCTCTTCTCTTCTCTTCTCTTCTCTTCTCTTCTCTTCTCTCTTCTCTTCATCTCTCTCTCTCTCTCCCTCTCTCCGTCTCTCTCTCCTCCTCCCCTCCACTCTCTTTCTAAAAAAAAAAAATCAATGGAAAATATACCTTCAGGTGAGGATTAAAAAAAAAAAAAAAAACACCAAAAAAATATTGAATGCAATTTTTAAAATGTTTAAAAAAGGAGAAAAAAATCAAAGATATAATGTAATATATTTAGGTTTTAAAAAGTGCATGTTATAAATTACCCATTTTTGTTTTAAAAAATGAAAGACAATAAAGAACCCTACACATACCACCAACTTTACATTTATTTATAGGAGATATATATATATACACATACACATATATGTGAATTTATTACTAAAGGGTTGGGGTAAAAGTAGGTTTACAGTTATAATACAAATAATTATACAATAATAAGTAATAATACAAAATAAATTGTTTCATGTACTCACAACTGTAAACCTACCTTTGTCCACCCTGTATATCTATAAATTGGCAGCATAAGCACAAAAACCACCAAAAATACACACTAAGCCACAGACTTTCACCTTTTACTCTAAGCCTTGCTGTATTTCTACATAGTTTAACATTGTTATGAACATGTGTTATTTTTGTGTAGTTAAAAACTGATGTAAGCCCAGCTGGTGTGGCTCTGTGGTTGAGCATCGACCTATGAACCGGGAAGACATGGTTCAATTTCCAGTCAGGAAATTGAATATATATATATATATTTAAAGAAATAAGAAAAAAATACACAGGATGATGAAGTTCTCACACTATTCAACTCTCACACTATTCTAGTATTAAAGAGCTACAATGCTCCAACATCCCAGTGTAAAAAGCCAAATATTAACTTTCTCACCCAAAGAAGCCACTAAAGGGAAAATACTAATTTCTGACCAATAAATGAAGCTATGGAGTTCTATTTTTTTTTGTTGTTTTATTTTTTTTAATATATTCTTATTGATTTCAGAGAGGAAGGGAGGAGAGAAAGAAACATCAATGATGACAGAGAATCATTAATCAGCTGCCTCCTGCATGCCCCACACTGGGGATGGAGCCCACAACCCGGCATGTGCCCTAACCGGGAATCCAACCGTGACTTCTTGGTTCTTAGGTCGATGCTCAACCACTGAGCCACGATGGCCGAGCAATAAATGAAGCTGTGGAGTTTTTTGTTGTTGTTTCTATGTTAGGTTGGTTTTTAATACAAATGGAGTGAAACTGCCAAGTTTAGGTGAGGAACATAATTTAGGAAAGGGTGAGCAAAAAAGGCATGTAGAATTATGAAAAACATGAATACTTTTGCCATGAACAGATGCCTCTGATCTGCAAGAATGTTTGATGAAATAGTGTTATGACATGAGATCTGTCTTGCTTGATACTTAAAAATAAAAGCAGACATGTTTTTATAACTTGACTCTAGGTCCCACCCTTCCCAGCCACAAATATTCTTGCATCGTCTTCCGCTCACTTTTACCTCTTCCAAAACAAGTTTAAATTAAATTCTTTAAAACACCTAAGATCATGAATCAAAACTTAGCTGTGGCCCTCTGAGGGAGATGATGGCACTAGGAACAAAAGATATATACACAGCTCATCTGCTTTCCCACAGAAGAAAGTATGGAAAGAAGAAAACCAAAAGTAAATAAATCAAGGCCATGGGAATGTAGTTGAGTGAGTAAGCGCATCCCAGGCAGGACTGGCGATCTACAAGTCTGGGAGAATGACCTACTTTAATTCCCACACTGGGAAAGCCCAGAATTGTATCAACAAGCCGTAGAATTCAATAGGATGAGATATGTTTCCCCTCTCCTTATTTCCCAGATTGCAACGTTCTCTATTTATTTGTATTTCTTTGTGGTTTCCACATTGCAAGCAGTTTTTCGGCCAGACTTTGCTCCACCTAGTGGAAATACAAAGGATGGTCCAAAAGGGAGGTGCCCACAGCCAGACATCAGCCTGCCAGTTGTATGCCACTGAGTAGACAGGTCAGCAGAACCCACTGTCACTGCTCCCTGTCACTCAGTGGCTGCTCTGTCTCTGAACTTATAGTTGGAATGGTGGTACTGGCAGTGCCCACAACTGGGACTGTAGGGTAAGAAATAAACCCACCTGGGTCCTGATGGTCCCTCAAGCGTTATTCCTAACAATTTATGACAGGAAAGAGGCCCTCTAGGGCATATGGATGGCCAGGAATTCCAAAGGCAGTTGGAATTTTGTACCCAAAGCCATGCAAAGTAGCCACAGTATTCTTAAGAGTTGCTGGCTACTGCCCAACATCCACAATGAGCTGTATCCTGAGGCTTGAAGGAGAAGGCTCTCCTCTGGACACAGCCTTCCTGACATGCAGGAGTCAGCTTCCCTCCTGGTGACCCTGAAAACACCTAATAGTTTCTGCAGGCTGAGTGTGTATGAGAACAAGCAAACATCCGTGAGGCTGAGCCTAAGAGTAGAGCCAAGACTTGGAAGGGGGAGAGGAAAAAGTTCTAAGAACATGACTCAGTTCCGAGTAGGGCCATGGAGGACACTGAGAAAAGAAAGTAACTGGCCATCAGCTTCACTGGGGCGAAAACAAACACGTTCTTCAAATAAAACCACAAAGGCAGCCCAAAGCAAGGGAAAAGAAAGTTCAAGACTGGGTGACTAAGGGAGGGCTCACCTGCTTACTAAACCACAGACTAAAAAAATATGCTTTTTTCAAAATGTTTGGTGTTGGCTGACAAAGTAGGGCTGACTGGTAACATATGTCAACAAATCTGAGAGTAATCAAGATTCAGGATTTAAAGCTTTAGATTATCCCACCTAAAATGTGTTGTCAGAGGATTTCATACACTTCATAGTGCTATGCTCTCTCTTCATAGGAAAGCTGACCTCAAACCCTGTGATAATTAAGTAGGACCTGGTAAGAAACCAGAGGTTCTCAACCTTGGCACTACTCACAACGAAGACAATCCTTTGTTGAGAGGGACCATCCTGAGCATTGTAGGATGTTTCGCAGCATCACTGGCCTTCACTCACTAGATGCCAGTAGCACTCCCAAACTGTAACAAACCAAAAATGTTTCCAGACACTGACTAATGTCCTCTGGAAGCAGCAAAACTGTCTCCAACTGAGAAGCACTGCTCTGAACACATAGACTCACCATGAAAAGTGGCCTACATAGCTAAAAGATAACAGGGACAAACTTAAACTCAGTGATGGAATAGAATCAAGGAAGTCACTTTCAAATCTGTTTCCGAACTTAGTTTGGGAGTTGATAATTACGTACCAACCACAATGTACTCTGAGGACCACCAATATTAACAGTAGTAGTAATTATTATATTTAATAACCATTAAACATATTCCAAGAGCCTTACGTATATTGTCTTTTCACCTCAGGACAAACCCATTAGGTTTTATTTACTTATTACTCCCGTTTTATAGATGGTGACACTAAGGCACAAAGAGGTTAGGTAATTTGCTCAAGGATAGTTAAGTAGAACAGTCAGGTTTGGAACTCAGGTGGGCTGCCCCCAGAGCTCATGACCTCACCACTGTGTTAGGCTATACCCCATGCCCCCATTGGAAAGCTGTTAGATTTGCATCGTCTAATATGTAGTCAGTAGCCACATGTAGCTATTTCATTTAAATTAATTATAATAAACATCATACCACTTTGGAAAACAGTTTGGCAATTTCTCAAAAGATTACATATAGAGTTACCATATGACCCAGCAATTCCACTGATAGGTACATACCCAGGAGAAATGAAAACATATGTCTACACAAAAACTTGTACACGCATGTTCACAGAAGCATTATTCATAATAACCCAGAAGTGAAAACAGCCTAAATGACCGTCAATTTAGGAATGGATAAATAAAATATTGTACATTCATACAACTGAATATTAATTGTCCACAAGAAGGAATAATATACTGATATATGTGATGATAAACTGATCTGTCAACATTGATGAATCTTAAAAACATTATGCTAAGTGAAAGCCAGTCACAAAGGACCACATAAGTGCATGATTGCGTTTATATGGACTGTCCAGAATAGGCAAATCCATAGAGACAGAAGTAGATTAGTGGTTGTCAGGGGCTGGGGGAGGAGGGTGTGAAAAGGGGAGAGACTGCTAAAGGCTATGAGGCTTCTTTATGGGATGATTGAAAATGTCCTAAAATTAGAGAGTGGTAATGGTCACACAACTCTGTAACTTACTAAAAAGGCATTTTATGTACACTTTAAAAGGGTGAATCTTTTGACATGTTAATTATATCTCAAGAAAGTTGATATAAAAAACTAAATGTCATTAAAAATTCAGTTCCTCAGTTATCCTAGCCACATTTCAAATACTCAAGAGCCACACGTGGGTAAGTGGCTACCAAAATGAACAGTGCAAATAGATAATTCCCTCCAACATCACAGAACATTCTACTGGATAAGCACTGCATCAATGAACGGATAAAAGGCCTCCTCTACCATCTAACCACAGTCCACCTTTCAAGTCTCACCACTTGCACACTCCTGTTCTAACACCCACATAGGAAGATTCTGTCACAGACTATGTGCCTCCTCCAAACGCATGCTCCATTTTCTCTCTGGAATGGGCTTCTCCCCTTCCTGCTCTACAGACATTCTACTTATCCTTTATCCTTCAGAGCACGTCCAAATGCCTCTTCCCTAATCCCCACCTTCCCCTGGCCCTAGCAGAATCAGTTGCTCCCACTGGCCTTTGTTTGCACTTCCATTACAACATTGATCCCTCTGGATTACAAATCATTGTGTGTGCTGTCTTTCCCACAAGATGACCAGCTCCTTGAGGACAGGGAGTCTGTTACTTATTTGAGGGTTCCCAAAGCCTAGCGATAATAGCCTGCTACAGAGTAGACATTTCAGTGTATGTTGCTGAATTCTACTGAAAGGATTTACAGAAACTCAAGGTAGTGATTTTCGACAACTGTTCACTTTGGTGTGTAAAACAGACAAAGAAAATGAAGGAAAGAGGATTCAAATCCGGAAGTCTCCTATCCCATTATTCTACAAGGAGTGTTGGTGATTGCACTGAAATGCCATTTTTAAAGAAAGAAGGGCTTCTGGACTGAAAACTGGGGCAATGTAGGTGAGTAAAGGAGGGAATTAGGGGCCAATGGGTATACTATTGAGAGCGGGGGGTGCGGGGACTGCAGAGACGAGGGCCCCCATCCAATTCAAAGTTGTAAGCGTGGCAAAGGAAAAGTAATGCATCTCTAGAGATTTGTGCCCAGAAGGCCACTGGTTGAGTCACTTCATGGAAAAAGACTTTTTTACTAAATCTTTATTTTAGATAAGATAGCCAGATTTTTCTGGTTAAACCTAATCAAAAAGAGAAAAAAGAAATCTATGTATCTCAATCATAATTTAACTGGAAGAGACAAATGCCAAGGCCTTACTATTTGGAGACCTTACTGTTTTTTTTAATTTTCTATGGATTCAAGGACTCATAACTGAGTTGCAGTAACGTATAGGAGAGTTAAGTCTAAGTTCCTAACCACAGAAGTGAACTAAGTTGATAAACTTTCCTGGGCCAGGATAGCCAAGAAATGGCTATTTCAGGGCAGAGCTATTAAGAGGGAAAGCAAGCCACCTAAATATCATGTTTTTCTTATATTAAATGCATATTTTAAAAAAAGTTGTACTTAATAGACCCATTTCAAGGGGGGAAAATGCAATAAGGTACTCACACCATTTCAACAAGGAGTAAATGTGGAGAGTCCTCCTCAATTCAGAGTTAGCTGGAAGTCACTTGTTGAAATAAGGACAGTGCGTACCTGAAGTAGGTCCTGGGCCAAAATGGTCTCTGAATCTTTTACTTTACAGATTTCTACAAGCCAAAAATCAACAAAGACCAAATTGGCTAAATTGTGGTAGATTCAGAGTTAATAATTATATAACGGCTTCCGTTCCAAAAGTTAAAATTCAAAACACAAATCTCACTACAGATATACTAGTACAATATCTCTGACAAAGAGACAAGGCATTAAGTAGGGGTGGAGGTGTTATGGGGGAAGGGGTCAGGAAGAGGGAGACCACTCATTACAGAAACCTTCCCTTCTCTGCAGGAACTGTAACCGCATAATAGCTGCTGGTCAGTGCATCCATCCAAATGGAACAAAGTACAAAAGCCACCCTGTCCCCAAAGTAAGCTTTAGAAGTGCCAGAGAAATGATAAGAAAATGGCCTGTGCTCAACAAACTGCAATTAGGACATGACACTGAAGATCCTCTCCCACATGTTCTCCCAGGCTTGCATGACATGGTAAGGAACCTCCACTTGCCATCCTTCCTCCTGCTAAAGAAATGGATGTTTCCCACCACTGACTATGAGGTCTACCCCTCCTCTCCAATAGGGTCAGGCAGTCCACAGACCCTGGGCACCCACCTCCGAAGGCTCAATATTCCTAAATCAACCCTTTAGTAATGTTATTTATTTATTACTAACTGGGAAACAGCCTTTGGAGAGAGAGAAATAGACAGGTGCAAAGGAAAAACAACGGTTTGTTCTATGTTTTGTTCTGTCAGCATTTATACTTAATTTTACCAGTCCAAATGGTGGTAACTTTTCTAATGGACAAAGAAAATTTATTTCTCCTGCTAGTTTGATTTTAACTGGGAAAATAAAGAACCCCAACAAAGCCTAACACGAAAGAGTTCAGACCTAGGAAAGGGAATATACTGGCCCAGAAAATGAGCTCTATTACGTTCACGTGTTATTTCTAATATACATAAAAATACTCTGAAGAAAAAAGAGGACACTTCAACCAAAAAATGAATAAGCAAATTGTGGTATAGTCATCCAGTGGAGCATTACGCAGCCATAAAAAATAATTAAGTACTGGTTCATGCTACAACATGGATGAATCTGGAAAACAGTATGCTAAGGGAAAGAACCCAGACACAAAAGGCCACACTGTAGAATTGCATTTATATGCAATATTCCGAATAGGTAAACACATAGAGACAGAAAGCATATTGGTGGTTGCCAGGGACGGGGGAAGTGGGGAACAGGGGGGGACTGCTTAATGGGTAGGGGGGTTCTCTTTTGGGATGTTTTGAAACTAGACAGAGGTGGTGATTGCACAACATTGTTAATATACTAAATGCCACTGAATTTTCCACTTTAAAATGGTTACATGGTTTTAAATAGCTTATGTGAATTTCACCTCATTTAATCTTTAAAATAAAGAATACTAATGGACAAAACAAAGATGCATACAGCATGTAAATCGACAAGCCCATGAACTCCTACGGGAAAGATAAGTATGTCTGCTGGGACTCTGCTTCTACTCTTGATCACATCGCAAGGTTCAAGTGCTAGGGGCTGTATAGATTCTGCCATCATGTGTGTGTCTTTCTGAAAAGACAGGGAAGGGAACAGAAAGTGAAGAAAATAGAATGGGAAGGCCTTGCCAAACGCAAGCAAAGGAGGGGTGATTACCCCTAGTGCACCCCACCCAACTTGGCACCAGGAGTAATGCTCCCATTAAGGTTTCGAAACGCCAGCCAGAGCTGGAATCAACACAAGCCAGCTTCTCTGCCTGGATAAAAAGCCAGCCCCCCAGCAAGAAGAGCTCCATTTGGGGTGCTCCAGGAGGCTAGCCCCGGTCAGCGTCAGCGACGGGCTCTCCCCGGCCGGCCCGCCGAACAGTCAAAGCTTATTGGAACCTCTCCTCCTCAGGGGTCCCGGTCCACTTCATCCCACCTGCCTCCCAAGGGTCCTGCCTCCAACCACGATTAAAAATGGTGCCCTCAGAACTTGCCCCTGTTTCAGCCTGAACTAAATACCCTCAGCCCCTCCCCGCTCTGGCTGGCTCGGGAGCCCACGGACCCGACCCGCGCGGACGTGCACGCGGCGCCGCTGCTCGGAGACTTGCTCCACGGGGAACACGGATGCCCCCCACATGCCCCCGGGGCCTGGCAGCACTATCCGGTCACAGGCGTCCCGGCCCACCTGACCTAACAGCCGTCTCAAAGGCCCGCACTCGCTTGGCACCACGCCTCTGCCGACCTGCCAGAAACCAAAACAGGTGTCCCTCAGCTACACCCCGACGCCCCCTGAGGTCCTGGCCCCTCCACGCACAGGGGTCCCTCTCCGGACCCCTCAACTCCTGGCAACAGCACTCCCTCAGCCCCTCCAGCTAGCAGCGAGGCCGTCTCCAGCCTCCTCCAGCCGGGCCTCGACGACCCCCAGGCTCCCAGCCGGGCCCGGACGCCCCCTCCCCCTTACCTGCGGGGGTTCAGCCCCGGCTGACAGGGGGCCGGGCAGCGCCTGGAGGAGCAGGAGCGCCATGCCACCCAGGAGCCTTCTCCTCTCCATCCCCCTCCTGCTCCTGCTCCTCCGCCACGGCGCCGCCACCACCCTCCTCCTCCTCCCTCTCCACCTCTTTCCTCTTCTTCCTTCTTCCCTTCTTTTCCTGTTTCACTCTCCCCTCCCGCTTCCGGCTCGGCTCCACCCCGGCCAACACACCCGCCCAAACACTGGGAGGTTCTCCAGTTCCAGCGCTTCATTGGCCCCTGCCCTGCGTCCATTCATCCAAATGGCTGTCGATCAAAGCGAAGTCCCGCCCCCTACTGAAGTCCCGCCCCGTGAAGACGGAAAACCAGAAGGATCCAGCCAATGAAAAGTAGGAGGAAGCTGGCCATCTTGGGTCCTGCGAGCCGTGTCAATGCGGAGTGTCGGAAGCCGCTCCGGCCGGGGCGGGGCCTCCTCCAGCGCCTGGTATTGAAAAGGCTAAGCGGATGTAGCCATCTTGAGTGTGGCGGAAGTACTAGGTTTCCACAGTTTAGCGAAGAAAGAGAGTGTGATGATTCGAAATGGTGTTGGCAAATATTTTTTTTTAAGAAGGTAGCCGGGCGCTCCTAAAGAATAAAACAACTGCAATCTAAAAATGTTTTGATATCTTTTGTCTTGAAGCACAGCCTCAGTACCAGGGTCCCTCTGCTGGTCTCAAACTGCCCAAGCAATAGCTTGGGGCCACTGGCATTTCCTAGGAGACAGTGCCTTTGCCTGAGGCGCAGTGCTTTGTCACAACTAGTTCCAGGGACGAGATTCTAGTGAGTCCCTCTACCACAAAAGTCGCTCTGAAATCCACCCCAAAGGCTTTCATCCATGTTCTCCTCTTCTGCCTAAACACAAATGGTCTCCTCTCACACACCACAAGGGTGCTCTACCACACACACAAAACACCGTTTTTGTCTCATGGCTTTCCCTCAGTGGATAGAGCACCCATCGGCCAGTGGACTGAAGGGTCCCGGGTTTGATTCTGGTCAAGGGTGCCTGCCTTGGGTTGCACCTACCTCGGATTGTGGGGAGGCAATCAATCAATCAATGTCTCTCTCTCACATCGATGTTTCTCTCTGTCTCTCGCCCTTCCCTTCCACTCTCTCTAAAAATCGATGAAAAAATATCCTTGGGTGAGGATTAACACACACCCCCCCCAAAAAAAAACAAACAAACAAAAAAAAAAAAACCTCCCTACAGGATATATAAACCTCCCTACAGTCCAAACTTCTCAGTATGGTCCTGTGTCCTGGTTCCTGCATACTTCTCTTTATCTCACCTGCCACCCACACATTCTGCTCACACTGGTACACTTAGGAGACCCTCAATGTGCTGTGTTACACGATACACTTAACTTTGTTTACACACTACACATACAAACTCCTAGTTCCCACCCCCTTGTTTCTTCTTCTGGATTCACAGAACACCCCCCCTCACAGTGTATCTAATCTGTATCTGCCTGGCTGACCCCTCCTACTAAATTTGCAGCTTTTTGTACAGCACACCAAGTCTTACTCATTTCCTAAGAAATCGCTACAGCATCCTCCTGTACAGGACCCAACTATGAAAATCAATGATAGTAAAATGAAATGAAGACCCATGACAGAGAAACCAGCTGCCTGTAGCTGTGAATTTCCTCACAAAGCATCATACAGTCTGGCCCTATGCCTGAGCCCACAGGGAGTTTGTTCTTGGCTTAAATGGTGGCAAAGTGGGAAACAGGTAAGAGTGAAGAAAACTGGTTTTGCCCCAACATAAGAATGTCCATAGTTCTGCCTCTGTCTTGATCCTGGTTTCCCAAGTGCTGCAAAAGGTGACAAGTATTTTTATCAATTTCAAGTTTCTTAGCAATTTATCTACTCCACAATCAAGCTCCCTAAGGGATAAGTAAAGATTGAGTACTGAGACATATGAAAACATGCTCAAAGTCACTAATCATCCAAGAGATGCAAATCGAAACAACAATGAGGTACCATCTCACACCTGCCAGATTGGCTATCATCAACAGATCAACAAACAACAAGTGCTGGCAAGGATGTGGAGAAAAAGGAACCCTCTTGCACTGCTGGTGGGAATGCAGACTGGTGCAGCCACTATGAAAAACAGCGTGGAGTTTCCTCAAAAAATTAAAAATGGAACTCCCACTTGACCCAGTAATCCCACGTCTAGAAATATATCCCAAGAAACCAGAAACACCAATCAGAAAGGATATATGCACCCCTATGTTCAGAGCAGCACAATTCACCATAGCTAAGATTGGGAAACAGCCTAAGCGCCCATCAGCAGGTGAGTGGATTAGAAAACTGTGGTACATTGCTCTAGCCAGTTGGTTTGGCTCAGTGGATAGAACATCCGCCGCGGACTGAAGGGTCCCAGGTTCAATTCTGGCAAGGGCACATGCCCGGGTTGTGGGCTTGATCCCCAGTAGGGGGTGTGCAGGAGGCAGCCAATCAATGATTCTGTCTCATCATTGATGTTTCTATCTCTCTCTCCCTCTCCCTTCCTCACTGAAATCAATAAAGAAATGTGTGTGTTTTTTTCAAGAAAAAACTGTGGTACATCTACACAATGGAATACTATGCTGCTATAAAAAAGAAGGAACTCTTACCATTTGCAACAGCATGGATGGACCTGGACAGCATTATGCTAAGCAAAATAAGCCAGTCAGAGAAAGATAAATATCACATGATCTTACTCATTTGTGGAATATTATGAACAACATAAACTGATGAACAAAAATAGAACCAGTCATAGAATCATCGAACAAACTGTCCAACCTATGAGGGAAGGTGGGGAGTGAGGGGGTAAGAGATCAACCAAAGGACTTGTATGCATGCATATGAGCATAACCCATGGACACAGATTGGGGGGGGGGGGCGGTGAGGGCATGTACTGAGGGGTGGGGGCAGCAGGGGAGAGGTCAATGGGGGAAAAAGGAGACTTATGCAATTTAAAAAAATTGAGTACTAAGCAAGGGCCCAATTATTTTCATACAGAGGGTCTTAATCCTGGCATCAAAGAGTTACAGAGACCATATAAAGGCCAGGTATTATCATCATTAGGAAACCCCAATGGTTTCAATTTGGCAGACAGGATTTCGTCCCAACTTCCCTTTCTCCCTTTACCTGAGAGCTCAAACTGAGCTACTGGACAGGACAAACACTTAGTCTGGATTAGCACTTCCCACACCAAGACATTTTAATCACTCTAACCAACTTTATTTCCACACCCCCCAAGAGCCAATTGAAAGAAAGCAGAAATGTAGTCTGAGTGAATACTTTTCAGAGTGCCTCTGAACTGTAGCCACTACATACTCCAGACTTTTCCGAAGAGTAATCATCTGTGAAGAGAGGAGGAATGCCAGGAGGCTTAAGAAACTGGGAAGGAAAGGGAAAGGTGGTTGGTTTTTGAAAGAACATCAGTGTCAAACTGCTTCTGAGCTCTGGTAAGGATTTCCCAATGTCTTTGGAAGTGGGCAACGCTGAAGCCAAATCTCTTATCCTAAGAAAACTAACTCAAAGACACAGACCTTTCTGCTCCGACATCAGCTAAAATCAAATTGTACATTATAACATGTATGAACTTTGAAAACATTATACTAAGTGAAAGAAGCCAGATACAGAAGGCCACACACAGTGTGATTCCATTTATATGAAATGTCCGGAACAGGCAAAACTAGAGACAGAGGAAGTAGATTATGGATTGTGAAGAGTTGGGACTGGGGGATGAGGGGAGTGATTAATTCAGTTTCTTTTGGGGATAATGAAAAAGTTCTGGAATTAGATCATGATTATGGTTGTACAGCTTTGTTGAGTATACTGCAAATCACTAATTTGTACACTTTAATAGGATGAATTTATGTGATATGAGTTACATTTTAATTTTTTTTTAATAGAGGGAAAAAGTAAATTGCAGCCAGTATTGTGACCGCAGAATGGAGGCCCTTCTCATTAGAGCAATGGTCCTTCAGGTATAGTATGTAGAATCACCACTGGAAAATTACCAGAAGTGTAAATCCCAAGACTCTGCCCCAGACCCAGATAATTTAAAAATCTGGAAGAGGAAGCCATACGATCTGTTTTAACAGGTGCTCCTGGTGCATTTTTTAGAGCTATTTTTCCTGAGTAGAAAAAACTTTTTGCATAAAGGACCAGAGGGTAAATACTCTAGGTTTTGCATGTTACATGCATTGGGTCTGTCACATATCCTTTTCTTCCTTTTTGCAGCCCTTTAAAACCTTGACCATGGTTTGCCAACTCCTGCTCGGGGGCAACGCAGCTCCCATTCTGGAAGCCCTCTGAAGCTTCCAGCACACAGGTGGGTTTTTCCCTTGTAATAAGGTAGATGAGCAATGGCTTCCGGGCTTCGGACAGGTAGGTTCACATTAAACTTGTTGCCCTCCCTCCAGGCCAAGGCCAAAGTCAGTCCAGATCCTATTTTCCATCCAGGTGTTATTAACTCAGCTGCAGACAGTTCATTGTGCTTTGAAGAAATTTATTCAATTCACAGTGGTATCTTTGAACAGTCAGTAAATTCTACTATACAAAGCTCAGACAGACACTGACCCCAGGTATGCCACAACAGTCCCCGAGGAGCGTGAGAAATCACCTACAGCAGCCAATTTGGAAAGGGCAAGTGACTGTGCTTTGCTGTGTGTCCTTGAAGGCTCTTTGGTCCTGGCTGGTTTTCTCTTACAGGCGTCCAAATAAAACTTCCCTTTCCTAGTCAGTACACACCAGTCTTTGGTATTTAACCGAATGGGCTGAAGAAGGGAGGTAGCCAGGAAATTATACCCATTACAATGTGTGGTTGATGCCTACATACATCCTTTTTACTCAGTTAGTAGAATTATCTTTTTTTTTTTTCAAAGTGTCCAGAGCCACAGCCATTCTAGATGTGTGTGTGTGTGTGTGTGTGTGTGTGTGTGTGTGTGTGTGTTATTCATTTCAGAGAGGAAGGGAGAGGGAGAGATAGAAACATCAATGATTAGAGTGAATCATTGATGGGATGCCTCCTGCAGGCCCCCTACTGGGGATTGAGCCCACAACCCAGGCATGTGCCCTCCTGGGTTCATAGGTTGATGCTCAACCACTGAGCCATACAGGCTGAGCAGAATTATCTTTTAAACACAGAAATAAAATCAGACATGATTTTAGAGCAGAACAAAGTATCTATAGACAGGGCTTGAGCACCATGGAGCTCTGCTGCCTCACACAATGACCTTTTTCAGCACTCAGAACTCCCAGGTGTCTGATAAAACTCAAGGGTAGCAGCACTCCCAAAGAACCTTTTGACAGGGGCAATGAGGAGAATGGGGTAGAGTGGAGATGAGCCCCAACACAGACCAGCCCTCCCTCCCCCCAACACACATACTTCCTGCGTAAGCTAGAACTACATGGGTAAAGGTTTCATGGCTTGAGAGAAGATGACACAGAAGGAAGAGAAAAGGAGAGTAGGAACTTCTCTTTGTCCCAGGGGTTCTTCCCAATCCTGGCTGCTACCAGAATCCCAAAGTTTTCCTAATTTTTCCAGTCGGTTTGCTGAATGTCTCCCTCTGGTCCCAGCAACTTCTCCCTGAGGGGGCCTCAGCTCCTGGTTTCCATGGGGATGGAAGTGGGAAGCAGACAGAGGATTTGGTCTTCCGCCCCTTGTTCACTTTCATCCCCTGGAGCCCAATAAACCAAGTGCCTGGGTAGAAGCATGAGGAATTCTGCTGCCTCATACACCCCCAAGTACACCGGAGCCTTAGGCCCTGTTGGCAAAGAGGAATGAGGACACAGGCAGCTAAGGAGGAGCTGGTGAATACTGGTATAGACTGGTCCTTGCTGAGGCGGGACGTTTAGAGACCCTTATTGAAGTAGACAGAAGGCACAAGTTCTCCATACTTGGCCTTGATGGTGTCTTGGAGCTCCTGTTCCAGGTAGGAAACTGGCAGTTCACTGAGGAGAGAGAAGAAGGTTATGAGTATGCCACCTAGACAGCAGCAAATTACCCTTCGATACCAACTCAAATACCACCTCTCAAAAGCCCCTTCCCCATTTTTTCCTTCAAAGTTAGTAATAGCTACTGTACAACACAATATGTTGCTTTTACCTCTACTCAGGCCTGTCTTCCTTCTCCCTGGTGCTCAACTTCCACCTTCTCCACAAGATTACAGGCACAGTGCTCGGAACACAGGAGACATCTAACAGATGACCACTGAGCTAAGAGCACTAAGGAAGGGGAGAGTGGCATCTCCTCGGAATATATTCCAGGTCTGTATTCCTACCTGGTCTCCTGGAACGAGTCCGTCCTCCCACCCACCTGATGCTGCCCTTCCATGGCATGGTGGATGAAGAGGTTCAATTCATCCACCCTCTGGCAAATAAGAGCCAGAATAAGGACCTGGGTCCAGCCAGGGGAGATTTATCTAATAACCCAACCAGCAGGACAGAGTCTCTTGTTGTTCCCCCACTTTCTCTCCAAGGCAGCCCTTGCTGCACTGGAAGGAATTCATCCCTTTGGAGACGTGTTCTGGCTTACCATTCACGCAGGGTTAAGAGGCCCAGAGTTTAGGCTGACAGGCACTTGTCCCTGGACAAATGCTGCCCTTCTTGCCCCTCCCTCTCTCCTTCCGGACAGCAAGCAGGGCAGGGAGAGTAGGGACAGGACATTTGGTAAAACAAAGGAAGGAAGGAATAGCTGATACCATATCTGTGGGAAGAGCCCACATGCCACTGGCACCATGAAGATGAGGCTGGAAAAAAGGAGAAACCAAAGCATTAGGGGGCGTTTCCCCACAGGCCATGCCTGAGCCCCCTAAAGGATGGGGGAGATGCCCATTCACTTGGCCTCCCTTCCCAGCTGGCTCCATGACTCCTCTTCCTTCAACCCTTCTTCTGGTCTAGAGACCTAGAGGTGCCAGGATACTCACTCTAGCACGGATTAAAATCAGCCAGCCTCCACCCCTCATCCCTTACCCCGATCCACCCCTGTTGCTCAAGCACATGAAGTCACTAGGGAGTGCAGGCAGCAGCTCTACAGACCACATGCATCCACTGATATGCAGGGGAAGCAGTGAGGGGTGTGAATCCAAAGGCCCTGCTCCTCTATTCACTGAACATCTGGACTGTTGGAGAACAGTGAGGGGCAGGGTTATCAAACTTCAATGTGCATACAAATAACTCCAGGGGCTCAGAAAAATGCGATGCTGATTCAGGAGGTCTCGGGAAAGGCTTGAGAGTCTTTACTTCTAACAAGTTTTCAGATGATGCGGGTCCAGGACCATGTCTCACAGGCCTTGGGAGTCTAACAGACATGAGTTCCTATCACAGCTTCGACACTTAGAAGGTGTACAGTCTGGGGCACGTTACCTCTGGCCCAGCAGAGGGAGGACAAGAGTGTCTGCTTTGCAGCGTCGCTGCGAGGATTCAATGAGATAACAACCTATGTGCAGCACCCGACCTGTGGGAACTGCCCACCCGTGGTAACTCAATGAACAGAAGTTTAGCATGTCGCCAAGGACCAATCTCAGCTCTAGCAATTGGGCAGGTGTCTTTCAATCGCTCCAAGCCTTTTTTTAAAGATGATGGCATCTATGGGCTGGGGAAATTACGTGAAATTATAGATGTGCAGCACTAGCACAGGGGGCACATTCAATATGTGTTCGTTGTTGTTGCCGTCACTAGCCCTGTAGTCCTGGGAAGCATGATTAATGGTTGAACATGTCCAGTCGATGGCAGGCACCGAAGAATGCTGCCATGACGTGGTTTCCTCCCGTGCAAGGTTTGGATACTTGACAGCCCCAGGCTGTCCCACATTTTTGTCTCTTCGTGTATTTTATCTATTTATTTATTTTATTGAGATATAATTGACATGTAACAATGTGGAAGTATAAGACGTTGATCTGATACATTCACATATCGCAACATGATGAGCTGAGTGTTAGCTAACACCTCTGTCGTGTCGCATAACGATCACTTCTTTTTCATGGTGGGATTGTCTCTTTTTTTTTTTTCTTTTGAAATAAAGTTGTTTTTTTTTCAATTTTCATAATTGAGATTTTATTGTTTTGAAATAAAGTTTTTATTGCTGATAGTATTACAGATATCTCCCATTTGTCTCATCATTTTTGTCTCTTCTCCAGACTTAAGGTCAGAGGGAAGACCCTGGGACATTAGGGTACCCAAGCTCTCTGCCTTCCATGTGCATGTGTGCACAGAGCCTAGCTAGCCTGGTTTCCTCCAAAGAGATAAGGTGAGAGCTCTCTAGATGGATCACAGGTGTACTGAGCTCCAGTGCTGTGGAAGTCAGGCAAAGGAGTGCATGTTCTTCAACACAGGTGACATAAGAAGACAGATCTTGGTGCCCCAGCTACAGAACCCAAACCAAGAAAACATTACTCACAAGCATCCACACAGCATAACCTGCAACGGCGCATGCAGGACCTTGACTTTCTGCACAAAAACAAACAAAAGGAAAACTCACATGGGACTTATATACCTTAGGGTGAACCCCACGCCTGCCCCGCGACCAACCAACCAGCCTCAGGTATAAGACTGCTGGCCCTGACGGAGAGGAGAAGGGCTCTCCTTGCTCTCTGTAGACAAGGCCAAGCAACCGGCTATGTTGTCTGAAGCGGGCAGCCAGGGGGGACTGGGATGATGAGCCCTACTTCAGTGAGATGAAGACTGGCAGCTAGAGGGAAGGAGGAGAGGACCAGGAGCTCCCAGGCACAGGTGTGGTGGGAAGACTCTGGGCAGGGAAGAGGCAAAAGGAAACCCCACTCACCTGCATGAAGGGCAGTTTCTCTAGCCTTTCCATGACGATTGGCAATAAAACTGAAAGAAACCAAAGAGAAGCCGGGGGGACCTGTAAGACTTTCTCTAAGACCCCTTTCCGAAGTCAGATCAGGGACTGAATGATTCTCCCGCCTTCCTCAGAAGCTCCAGGAAATACTTTTCATTTGGGAGAATGGCCACTCTGACTTGTCCCCCAAGTCCCAGCAGAAGGGTGCTTCCCAAAGCACACCTGCAACAATAGAACACGTGCCCAGGCCCAAAGTGTCCTCAAAACTCAAAACTGCCGAAACCGGTTTGGCTCAGTGGATAGAGCGTCGGCCTGCGGACTGAAGGGTCCCAGGTTCGGTTCCGGTCAAGGGCATGTGCCTGGGTTGCGGGCACATCCCCAGTGGGAGGTGTGCAGGAGGCGGCTGATCAATGTTTCTCTCCCATCGATGTTTCTAACTATCTCTCTCCCTTCCTCTCTGTAAAAAAATCAATAAAATATATTTTAAAAAAATAAAACAACAACAAAAAAAACCTCAAAACTATCTCATGTAAACAGACTTTTTATCTTACCCGGTAACATGCCCCTGCTGGAAGCCCAACCAGGGCAGGGGATTTATTTTCGCTACCACTGTCTCCCCGGCACCCCACACTGTGTCCATCCAGTACATTGAAGGTACTTAAGAAATATGTGCTGAATAAAAATAACGTCAAATGTCTCATCAATTGATGTTCCAAGAACTACAGTGCGGTAGTTCAGCACTCAAGCAAACCAGTATGAGAAGCATCGCTGTAGAAGCTGGGGTCCCACCTCCCACCCGAAAGCTGAGTGTGGCTGAGGCCTCTATCATGTGCTCCAGGGGCCCCCATCTTACTCATGCCAGGGGCTGCCATGGTGATCCGAGAAATAACCACTTGGGTGATGCCTATGGCCGCAGCTCTCTGAAGGCAGAAAAGAGCAAGTTGTTAGGAATGACCTTATCCAATATCCATGGCTGGGCCAGAGTCAGGGTCACAGCCAAGTCTGAGCTGGTAAAGGGGAAGGGATGGACCTGCCAGGGGCTGAGTGGCTTCTCCCAACCTTCACCTACCCAGCCAGCTTCAGGACTAGAAATGAAGCAGAAAGGACATGAGAAATGTCCCAAACAGAGAAATGTGGGGGGAATAGAGGAGAATGAGAGTGGAGTCGGGGAGATCCTGCTCTGACCACTAAGGACAGGACAGGGTATGAAAGGGAGTTCCCTCCTCCCACCCAAAGAGAGACCTCTGCTCACCCGGGAATGACCAAGCTCATTGTGATTTTTGTCCTTCACGGAGATGCCTTGGATGAGTTCCCTAGACACAGGAGATGCTGGATTTGGGAAAGGGGTGCTGGAAGCCTGCCAGCCATGTGACACACCAAGGCCAGGGGACCAAGGCCAGGGCACTCACGCTCTAGGGAGCCACCTCCGTGGCCTTGCCCTGTGACCTTCCCCTGCACTCCAGCGAGTGGTGTCTGAAGTGATCTAGGGCATTGGCTGAGAGAGCTAGTCCTGAGCCCAGACTGCCTAGATTGAATCCTGAAACTGCAGAGTGTGTCTGATCATGAGCAAGTTCCCTAATCCTTCTAAAGACTCAGTTATCCTCAACTGCAAAATGGAGACAATCCTGACACCCACTTCATAGGACTCAGTGTTTTAACAGGATAATGCCTGCAAAGTGCTTAGTCCGGTGTCCGACACGGAGCGGCTGCACCACAAACAGTAGCTGCTCTGGTTATTGTTCTCAGGCCAGTTCTTGACAGCATTCGCCCCAAAACCAGGTAGATGGCTGGGACTTACTCATTGGATGGAAAGGAGAAGCTGGGTGGGGAAGGGAGAGAGTAGAGGAGCAATGTGTATGCACAGCTATCCCGGTAGTGTGCTCTCAGCAAGGGCAATGTGACACATTTCCACCTACTAGCAGTTCTAAGAAAATGTGGCTGTAGAAATCGGTGATGATGATGAAGGCAATGATGACAACAGTAGCAATAAAAGCTAACATTTATGTAGCACTTGTTATGTTCTAGGTGCTATTTTGAGGACTTTACATCTATTACATCATTCAATTTTATAACAGAGGAACATCTATGCTTTCTCTAGTCAGAAATAAGAACTGCCCTAGCTGGCATGGCTCAGTGGATAGAGTGCTGGCCTGCAGACTGAAGGATCGCAGGTTCGATTCTGTTCAAGGGCATATGCCTGGGTTGCGGGCTCGATCCTCAGTAGGGGGCTTGCAGGAGGCAGCTGATCAATGATTCTCTCTCATCACTGATGTATCTATTTCCCTCTCTTCCTCTCCCTTCCTCTCTGAAATCAATAAAAATATTTTTTAAAAAATTAAAAAAAAAGAAATAAGAACTGAGAGACACAACAGGTTTCTCCTTTTACCTATTCTTAGAGCCGGGTACCTGGAAAACATCTACCTACTCCTCTGGCTTCTTTCAAAGCTTCTTGGCTCTGTTCTATCTTTGGACACCTCGCTCTGCTGCATTTCATTCTGTAAACCATCCCCAGGGCTTTGGAAGTAGGCAGTGCTCACAACTTAAATACATTTGCAGTTGAAAGAACATGATTGAGTATAAAATGCACAGGCTTATGTCTCCATCCCACACCATCCAAAAAATGGCTCCCACATACCCGTCACAGATTAAACCTAAATTACCCGCCACTCGCCACTCGTATTGGAATGGCCATCACTATTAGAGCAGCCAATCCTCAGGGACCCTTCAGAGGCACAGCCTGGCGGCCTCCTCCCACATACCCCAGCTCCAAGAAGCCACCCACTGCCTTGGTCTCTTGCCTTGGTTTCCCTGCTGACCTCGTGGCTTGTAAGGAGGAAAGGGGACCCCTGTACTCACTGCTGTCGCATCATTGGGATATTGACACAGTTAGCAGCAGCTACAGCAGCAAAGGGCACCCAGCGAGCCACCAAGGGTGGAGCTTTCTGTTGGAGAAAGGGAACAATGGGAGTTGTTGAGGCTCCCTGCAAGGTGAGAGTGGAGGGACTTACGGACTACAAAACAAGCGCTACTGTCACACACCCAGACACCCATCTGGGAACCCAAACTCCCTCAGAGGCCTGAGAAAGACCAACCTGGGGACAGCCCTGCTGCATTTCCCACTATTGGGCTGGGCTCTGGTTACACCCCAACTCACCCAGACTGGGGCAATGCCTAGTTCTCCCTAGGACTTTGCTGCCCCCTGGTGGCCACCATGCCCACAGCAGCCCCAGGAGTACCTTTGTCAACATGTTCATGCTCACAGCAGTGGTGACCGCAGTAGTTGTGGCTGTGAGGTAGGAAAGGGCCATCTGCCTAGTGGAGGAGAGAGGTGCTTAGGAATGGGGAGCCCTTCGGGCTGAGAGTAAGACCATGGCTTGAGTGAGGAAGTCTGGAAATGAGGCTTCATACCTGAGCAGCTCATGTGGTTTATCCCGTGTCATCTTGTAGCCTCCCCCTAACTCCAAAGGATCCAGCCCCCTGGGCCTCCTTTCTGTACTTTATTTATATTTGAATTCAACAAATACTTACTGAGTGTCCATTATGTGCTATATATCGTTCCAGGTACTTCCTTTCTGTCCTTTAAACACACCCAGCTTTTTCCTATCTCAGTATCTCTGCACACCGCTGCTCCCTACCCAGGGTATTCTTCCCTGGGCTCTTTCTTTTCTCTTTTAATATATTTTTATTGATTTCAGAGAGGAAGGGAGAGGGAGAAAGAGATAGAAACAAAAATGATGAGAGAGAATCATTGATTGGCTGTCTCCTACACATTCCCTTCTTGGGATCGAGCCCAGGCATGTGCCCTTACCACGAATCCAACCATCACCTCCTGATTCATAGGTCAACGTTCAACCACTGAGTCACACTGGCTGGACTCCCTGGGCTCTTTCGTAGCTAAATCCTTATCCTTCAGAACTCAGCTGATACATCAGCCGTATAGGGAAGACTTCCCTGGCCGGCCTATCTACACAGGCACCTCTCTGCTGTTCTCTATCTTGTCACCTGTGAGTTGGCGGCAATCTGAGATCATTGTACTTGTTTTCATAGAAAACCTTCAATTCTACAAGAAGAAGGACCACAAATGCCTTACTCGAATGTATCCCCAGCACCTGAACCATTCCTGGCATATGTGTAGAATGAATGTAGAAGAAATACTTTTAGAATGAACACATTTTGCCCTAGCCAGTTTGGCTCAGTGTATAGAGCGTTGGCCTGCGGACTAAAGGGTCTGGGGTTCGATTCCAGTTATACCCAGGTTGCGGGCTCAATCTCCAGTGGGGGGCGTGCAGGAGGCAGCCAATCAATGATTCCCTCTCATCATTGATGTTTCTATCTCTCTCTTCCTCTCCCTTCCTCTCTGAAATCAATAAAAATATATATTTTTTAAAATGAACACATTTTGAATTGGTCCAAGAAGATGCTTTCCTAGTCAGCCTAAGAAAACACTTCCAAGCCCTGAAAAGGGAGGAACTTCATCACCTGTCCAGTGTGAACCCTACGCAGGGAGGACTGGCAGCCTGAGAACCCTTTAGAAAGGTTGTTCCCCTGGAGGCAAAAGGACAGCCACCTCCTCCAAACCCATGTGGACAGCCTGGGGTTCGAGTCTCCTACCTGACTGATGTGGGGGAAGCCGCATTCCTGTTGGTGTAGTTGACTAAGGCATTGAAGGACTGGTTCACCCACTGCCAGAAGATGATCGCTGGCATCGTCCTACCAGTAATCGAGGTCCGGAAAGGAGAGGAGAATGGAAGGGAAGGCTTGGTATACACAGGTCAAACCGTGTTAACAGCTCTTCCCCAAACTGCTCCCATGTTCTATACACCTGGGCTTTTGTAGTCTTGCCCCTCTTCCTGGAACACACACACACACACACACACACACACACACACACACACACACACACACACACACACACATACACACACACACACACACACACACACACACACACACACACACACACACACTCACACACACACTCACACTCACACACACACACACTCACACACACACACACACACACACACACACTCACACACACACACACACACTCACACACTCCCTCACTCACATTCACACTCACACTCTGTTCCATCCATGGCTAAATCCTGCCCTGCTGAGAGATTACTTCCTCCTTGGGACCTTTTTGACCCTTCCCCTGCCCTTCCTGAGACTAAGTCATCCCATGCTCCCAACTCTTAAAATCCCATATTCTCTCAACCTACCACTTAGCAAGCTGGACTGTAACAGTTCACTTACTTCTTGGTCTCTAACAAAACTGGAAGCTCCTTGAAGGGAAGGAAGGACTAAAGTCTTTATATTCCTAACAGCTGGGGCCCAAAGTCTGGCTCAATTACTAGACAAATAAATGCATAGGGGGGCGGGAGAAGGAAGAGAGAGGAAGGGGGAAGAGTCACACATCCAGCAACTACAACGTTTATTCACTCACCAACGGAGCTGAAAGGGCCTTCCTATTTTTTCCTGGGCTATTACATTATGAAATGCATTAAATTCATTGTTAATATAAGCACTTTTTAAAGAAGAAATTAGTATCGTGTATTCAGTGAGCGTTCTAGAAAGGACTGCCTTAGCTAAAACCCAGGTACCAATACTTCCTGGCTGTATGAGCTTGCACAAGTTACATAACCTCTCTAGAACCTCAATTCCTCATCTATAAAATGGAGAGGTAATAGTACCTCTCTGTAGGGCTGCTGAGAAAATTACATGAGGTAACACATTCAAAGACTTTAACACAGTGCCTAGTATCGGGAAAGTTGCAATAAAGATGGCTATCATTCTAATATAGCTCCCTGGCTAGCAGACCCAAGTGGCTACACCTCCCATCGCCTTGCTCCCAAGTCCCACCTGTAGAACTGGAGCATGAAGCCTGTGATGATCATGCCGCCGGGAACCTGGAAGGACATCCGTCCAATGACATTCATCTTGTCCCCGGTGTCAGGGTGGAAGGCAGAGTCATAGAGCTTTTTGGCATACAGGAGCTGCTCCACTTGAGTCCCTGGGGGCACGACCCCCATCCTGTCACCCAAGGACAGAGTCATCCCCTTGTCCCCCCACTCCAAGTCATCCTGCTCTAATTTCTCCCTCCTCCCTGAGATTTCTGCCTGTTCCCTCATCTTCAGTTTCCACCTCCTCTAGGGAACCCATCCAAGTTGCCCCAGTGCCTCCAACCCCTTCCCCTAACCATTCACCTGCTTTTCTCCACCATCATCTTGGCCCAATCCAGCTCCCGCTCTGGTACGAGAACAGTGCGAGGGTCCGTGATGTTGAAGAAGTGCTTCACCCGCCCCAGGAAAGTGGACTGGTCCCAACGGGGGGCATCGATGTTAAAACCAGACAGGTCAGGCTCCATCTTGCTCGCATACAGAACTGTGTACTTAAGGAAGACAGGAAAAATGAGGGCTGTTCCCTAAATCAAAACCTGACCCGGAAGCCCTGGGCATCTCCCATTCTGGTAAATTGCCCGCTTTCACTCAGTCTGGGAAGGACTCAGATTGAGCAACTGGGTACCACCATGTGTTTCCTGAGTGCCTACTGGTGGCCAGCCCTGTGCTTGATCCTGCTGCGGGGGAGATTGGTAAAGCGGACAACACAGTGCCTGTACTTGGGGAGCCGAGTCTGACTGAGGAACAAGAGCCCACAGTGGAACCGTATGTAGTATGTACAGCAACAATAATACAGGAGATAAACAGAAGCAGAGACGGAGGGGCAGGGGAACAGAGTAATCAGAGGGGGCTTCCCAGAAGGAGTGGAATGTGAGAGAGGCCCTAGGAGATAGATTTATCTGAAGGAGGTAGAAGGCATGGGATCACAGTAAAGGTAGAAACAATCACAGATAAAGAGGAAATGAACATGGCATGACCACTTTCGTCATTTCAGTGTCTGTGTGTGGTGCATGTCGGCCCTGTGAGAGATTCGGGGCCATGGCTGTGAGGGAGGTGCCATGTCTGCCCTCAAGGAATTTCAAAGCAGAGATTAAACAGGTAAGTAATTCAATAAGGAGAGCAGAGTAAACAATGCTGCTGCCAGACACTGGAGCAGTGGAAAGCCAGAAAAGAGGCATCTAAGACTGAGACGACCATATCTCCCAGTTTGCCTAGGAGTGTTGGCCTGGGGTCGTTACTAATAGCACCCTTTTCACTCTCAATTTGCATGTGTCCCAATTTGGATGATAAATTAAATGGTCACCTTATCTGAAATAGATGAGGGATTCTTTTTTTTTTTTTTTTCAGTCAACAGGGCCTTTATTAACACAAAGTACCATTTGCCACAAGATATACATGTTCTAATCTTTCAGTTCTTTTTCAATATTTTAACTTAAGGTTACTTGTGGATCTAACATAAAAAGTAACCTGCTAAAATCAGTCAAAGCAAAATTTGATTCTATCTATCACCTTAACCTTTTATTATTTAGATTTATAATTAACATCATTTGTCTCAAGTAGCTTTTATTATTTAGATTTATAATTAACATCATTTGTCTCAAGTAGCAGAATATAATTCTTGTACTTGATAATCTTCTATACTAAAATATGTGCCAGTATATCTTAAGAAGTTACTAAATATATGGAATTAACATAGATATTTAACTACTTTCAATAAGCTGGAAAGTACAATGTTAAGTTTTCTAAGAGGAAAATCATTTATAGATCTTGGTTGTTTATGGTTTTTGCAGTTTCCATAAAAACTGGTCCATATTAAACCAGTCTTGAAGACCTAAGATGGAAACTTAAAAATCCTAATGACAGCCTTGATTTACTAAGATAGAAACAATAATAAACCAAACTACAGTTCTCTTTTCCCGGGCCCAAGCAGAGATGCTCTGTCATAACTTTTGAAACATTTTTTGTCTGCTTAGTATAAAAGTTGAATGACCTTAAGTTAGATATCAGGAGACCCACAGATGATGGGCATATTTATTGGGACACATTTTAATTCATAGAAGATAATTCATATACCATATCAAAGTGCATTATAAGATTTACACTGTATCTGTCCACATGCTTGTCATGTTTTATAATATTTCAGTTGGATGCAGGAAGACTGGAATTGTTCAGAAAAGTCTAGCTTTTAAGATGTGGGCAAAGTTTACAGTGAGTCTTTTAAAACATTTAAGTAACCAGAAGTATAATAACAAGAAGGGATTATGTAAGAAGAATGAATATTGCAAAGGAAGCTTTATAGTCAATGAAAATACAGTACTTTGGATTGGCCAATATGCACAGTACACATGAAATCAAGGTCATGTACTTTACTTATTGACCACGTGGCTACAGTTCAAAAGGTCACTACTCCAACAGCCTTACCAAGTAATCTTCCAAACTGCTTTTAAATAAAGTTCTTCAATTGTAGCAATGAACAAAAAGACAAGATACACTTAAAACAATACTGCAGTTTATCAAAAGACACATAAGAAATTTCAACTCATGTCTTTGACAGTTATAAAAATCAATGTTTGGCTAAGTTATAAACATGTTTATAATGCAATTGTTTGCATAATTCTAATAATAGTAATGACAGCTATAAGATCAGAATAGGTTTAAAAACAACAACAACACTAAAAACATAAAAATACATAGCCCCATTATTTACCTGTAGAGTATGTTCATTTATGACTAAATTTCAGCATTTACTATATCTCCACTGCTCTAATTTTAAAAATCACATCCAAAGGGAAAGGCAAAACTACCTAGCAACTGGCCTATTTGATTATTTCTCAATTTGCGAATATGTCCTTAATCTGTTGATGTAGCAAACAAATTTCAACTGTGTCATGCAAAAGAAGAGATGATAGTCTGCTTTGCAATGAACTTCAAAGTTCAATCGCACACAGGCAACATGCTATATATGAAAAAATGACTAACTGAACTACAGGTATTAAATACTGAAAATAGTTAACAGTTTGTTATGATTTATTTTATTTAACAATCTAGGAAGTTTGCAGCCATCAGCAGTTCCAATATCAGGTGCAATTGGGAATTCAGGAATCTCTGTGGAGCTGTTAGCATAGCGAACCTTGTAAGTAAAATACATGCATACTTTTGATAGCACACGTGAAGGGATCTCTCTAAAACTGACTTCATTAGTTTCATTCTCAGCAAACTGACCTGGGCCACTCAACATGGCTTGTATCGTTCCTGATGTTAATGCATATTCTCTTTTTACAATAAATTCATGACCATCTGAAGATATCAACTTGACATACAGCCACCATAGGCTTTCTCTTCTCCACTCTCAGCCCCGCAGCCACCGTGCCAGGTCCCCGCGCACCACCACAGCCCCCACTCCAGGGCCACCCCTCCACCCCCACAAGCCTACTGCCGGAGGTTCCAGGCTAGGTGAGGGATTCTGAACACACTTTGTTAGTACGAGAAATAAGCAATATTTTGGAAATATGTATAGAAGCTAAATAGATGGAAGAGCAGTATTTCAAGCAAAAAGAAGAGCCAGCACTGAAAGCTCATGGTGTGCACAATGTCACTCCTATCCTCACAACAAGAAAAAAAGCTGAACAAACTAAAAATCAACAACTCTTCTTAGCCCCATCAGAGAATTGAGATCACAGGGCAAACCACTGCCCCAAAACCTGGAGACAGACAGGTAAAGAGACACACAGCCATTGAGAGCAGAAGCCCACTGCTAGGGCAAGTATCACTGGAAAACTTAAACTGCAATCAATGAATTTCTGGAGCTCGATGTGGACAAGTGGGGACTCAATCTTGGGGGACACTACTTTTGTGAGTTTTACCTCCAGAAGCCCACTAGGTTCTCAAGGTGAAGATCAGAAAAATATCTCCTAGTGCTTCTGGCAGCCAATCAAGGATTCTCTCTCATCATTAATATTTCTATCTCTCTCTCCCTTCCTCTCTGAAATCAATAATTTTTTTGAGAGAGAGAGAGAGAGAGAGAGAGAGAGAGAGAGAGAGAAAATAATTTAAAAAGAACAGAATAGCCAAGAACCTTGGGACAATTACAAAAGATGTGGCAAACACATAATGGGAATACCAGAAGGAGAAGAAAGGAAAAGAAGAAATATTTGAAGAAGTAATGACTGAAAATTTTCCAAAATTAATGACAGACACCAAACCACAGATTCAGGAGTCTCAGAGAACACCAAGCAAGATAAATGCTCCAAAATCTACATTTAGGCATATTATATTCAAGCCGCAGAAAATCAATATAAAGAATATCAAGAAAGAAGCCAGAAAGAAGGGATAAAAAAACCTTACTTAGAGCAAAGAATTACATCAGACATCTCTTTAGAAACCATGTAAGCAAGAAAAGAGTGAAATATTTACTAGTAAGTGTTGAAAGTATAAAACAACAACCCATGAACCTAGAATTCTACATCAAACAAAATGATCCTTTAAAAATAAAGGAGAAAAAGAATTTCTCAGACAAACAAAACTGAAGGAGTTTGTCAACAAGAGACCTGACTTGCAAGATGTTAAAAGAAGTTCTTGAGAAAGAAAGAAAATTATATAGGTCATAAACTCTGGCCTACATAAAGAGTGTTAGAGAAGGAATAAATGAAAGTTAAAAATAAAATCTTTACTTTTCTTCTTCTAATTGTTAACAGTTAACAAACAGATAACAGTGTGTTCAAAATAATAATAGCAACCGTGTATCCAGTGATTATAGCTGTAAATAAGTGAATGATATAGTGGATGGGAGGGAGGAACTGAGAATACTCTACTGTAAGGTACTTGTACTACCAATGAAGTGGCATAGTATTATTTGAAAGTGGACTTGGATTAGTTGTAAATGTATATTGCAAACTCTAGGGAAACCAGTAAAAAATTTTCCCAAAAGAAAAATTAATAATAGATATGCTAAGAGAAGAGAGAAACTGGAGTCAAACAGAAAGCTTAGACTTCGGAACTTTTGCCTAAAAATTTCAGGAAGAAGCCCAGCCAGCATGGCTCAGTGGTTGAGTGTCAACCTATGAACTAGGACAGTGATGGTGAACCTTTTGAGCTCGGCATGTCAGCATTTTGAAAAACCCTAACTTAACTCTGGTGCCGTGTCACATATAGAAATTTTTTGATATCTGCAACCATAGTAAAACAAAGACTTATATTTTTGATATTTTATATATTTAATGCCATTTAACAAAGAAAAATCAACCAAAAAAATGAGTTCATGTGTCACCTCTGACGCGCGTGTCATAGGTTCGTCATCACTGAACTAGGAGGTCATGATTCGATTCCAGGTCAGGGCACAAGCCCAGGTTGTGGGCTCGATCCCCAGTATTGGGCATGCAGGAGACAGCCAATCAATGATTCTCTATCATCACTGATGTTTCTATCTTTCTCTACCTCTCCCTTCCTCTCTGAAATCAATAAAAGTATATTAAAAATAAATAAATAAAATTTA